TGAAGGTTGTACACCGGCCGGCATTTCAAGCGCACAGTTTCAAACCGTTCTTTTGTCCTTATAAATTGTGTTAATGTGACTATAGCGGGGCGCGTATCAACGCTAAACTCAGTATGAGATGAATTTCATTTGAATTAGCTCTGTTTTTAGCTGTTTACAGAAGTTATATGATAGGGCATAAATGGCGGGCCCCTTTATGTTTTCTGGGGAGCGAACGTTCGTGAAAACACTTCTTCGCATCGTTTTTCGAGTAGAAAAGACTGAAAATGAACCGATTTTGGAATGGATAGTTGGAATGGATTTATTTGTGGCTGAACCTTATCTTTATGGAAGGTGCTATTAGACAACGTCTGCGTGAAGGATCCGTTTTGAGAATAGATAATGATCATAGAAAAATTACCGGCTGAATGATTCAAGGGGCACCCGGGTGAAGTATCGAGAAATATGTCGACCAGACACGACAAATACCCTGCTCGATGTTTCGCGTAAGCTTATTTCATATGCTCCAACTATAATATGTTAAGAAGAACAGCTCGATTTTGAAATATTCTAAAAGTAGGGTTAACCGAAACACAGTTGGCTAGATTTTCCATATGAATGCAGATGTTTGCCTATAGATTGCAGAACCTAGTGAGGGTCCAGGATAGATTAATCAAATATATCGGCTAACAATCGTTCATTCCATGGTATATCCAAGAAATAAGACTGAAGGCACTTCTATTTATTAGGTATCGTATGTAGAATAACGTAAGAAGTACCTACGGGAAAGCAGTAACTATTGCCAACCTATCAACAAGCGTCATAACTAACGGACATCCTCGTTTTACCTCCATCGCATCTACCCCTCTACAAAGCCATGTTTTATTCAAAAAGGCCACTGACCGCCAACGTCTAGAATTACGTCTTACAGTACAAAAAGCAGCTAATACACTGTATCAAAAATTATCATATCTTCCAATATTATCCCTTCCATACCGACTAGCATTTATTAAGCTATATTTGTTTTGAGAATACCGATTCTAGAAGCATCGTAGCCCTGTAGCCACAATAGGAAATTTAGCTAGCTTTGCATCTATATATGTATAGGATTATCTGTTTGTAATAAGCAGTGACATTGGACAAATTGAATACGTTTATGTTTAGGGCAGGTATTAATGATCAGTACATATTTCCACGACGTCTTTACGATGGTGCAGTGGTGATGCCCGCCAAATTTAAAAGCACTAGGCGATTCTGGTAAACTAGATTCGAAACCACGCGTAGACTAAGTAGTGCTTAATGCAGCACCATTCGTTGAATTCAATATCTCGAATGGAACGGTGAGGGATCGAATGAGGGTTTGCAGGACTCACGGCTAGTCGGAAAATGTCCTCGAAGGGCAGTTCCAGCGTTTTCTGTAAACAGCAAAAATCGAGTCCTTCCTTTTTAGGTTTCGTAGGCCAACAAATCAAAAGCGGACTTGCTTTTTAAACGTACACGTCGATTGTATAGACAGACTATTTCAACGCACATGAATGCCAAACAAAAAAAAACATTTCAGTCATTTATCTAAATGTGAACGAGATTGTGAGATTCATTGTGGGCGTGAATAATGTGGTAGATTCGCTAGATTAGTATAATATCAGAGTGTTGAAATAGGTTTCACTTTGGTAAATAAAGTAGAGTATAAATTCATCTGACGAATTAGAACCATAACTTGAGTTTCATTCTACTGTCAATTAATATGAGGTTTATGATGAGATAAAGATTTAACAGCGGGAATCCTACGCTAAGATGTTAAGAAATTACGACCAGGACCAAAGTCTTAAAAACTTAGAGGGCCTTTGAAATTAAAAATAATCATTCGGGCTATTTAACGACAGTCAAATTTATAAATACGTTAGTTAATATTGTATAGTTTAGCTTCTCTAGCAGCGTGCCTACTATCTATTTAAGATGTTTGTTAACTACACACTAAATTTCCGTTAATTGTATTATCAAGCGAGTCCGCAAGGTACATTGCTGGCTTTGTAGGGTTTCAATTGGAGTAGCCTGGCCCTTTCAAGAGAAAACGCTGCCTTCGATGTTTTAGAGAGTATACTTTATGGAGTTACTATACAGAGGTTTTGTCGAGCTAGACAAGCGAGAATACTAAACTGATTCAAAAAGTTCCTATCAAAGCGTATCGTTCCATGGTTCTCGGTTAATAAACGCCGCTTTCCAAAAGTTAGTTTATCCACTTCTACCTAGAGTCAGGTTCTCATGATCACGGTCATGCTCTTTTAAAGTCGAACAATGAAGGAACGCGACCTAAAACGAAATTCTCTATCAGCTGAAGATCCTTTATAGCAAACAAAGCCTAGACCGGTCAGGTCGGGTCGAGTTCTGACCACAATGTGGACTGCGTTTCGCATTTAAAAGTAGATATCGATGTCTAATTCCACTGAGGGATTTTTTGTGTAGTCGTAATTCTTATTGGGCTTATTGCAACATAAACAAATACACCCTTTTTCTTAAGAGTGTTATAATGGGATTTGGAAGAAAGCAATCGACAATTGCAAAGCTAATCTGATGTGTAGCCTTCTTCCATTTACTATATAATCTTCATCTGACTTCATAGCTTTAGGTAACGAGTGCCAATTTATCCTCATCAAGGTCAGTAACGCTACAGGAATCTACGACACGAAAAATGGCACAGAAAAAAGCAAAAAGCTTTTCCCTAACGCACATATCGCCAACAGAAGACAAATGATAACGACCAACTAAGATTCTGCCCTGAATTCTAGTTCGACCTCTTTTAAGAGTCAGGAGTTTGTCAAGGCCGACAATAAATAAGAAGCAATTTTCTAATTACCGCCAAAAGATTAAAAGTAGATTTTTACTTATATACAAACTCATATTATACGACCGTCTTCTGTAATACGGAAAACACGCTATATTCAAAAATAAGCATCTTGGGTAGTTAAGCTTAATCCTTGTCGTAGCAATTAGTAGTTACGACATTTCATTGTGTTTAAAAAAAAGTTTTTTCTTTAGAAAAAAATTATAGCATTGCCATCATAATACGGAATTTAGATGGGACGCAAATATAAACACTGTATTAATTAACCCTAACAAAACATTTATTCTTCATACGATAATGAACCACTGGTTACTTGTTGTTACAATAAGCGTTTGGAGCACTCAAAGTTAAGTCGGAAACGTCAACCACGATTCATCTACATACCTGCGTATTACTACGCACCAAAGACGTATAAAAATTAAACATATGCGCCTATTAGAACGCTAAAATGGATGGTTTCAATACACCGATACACCAGACATGTTTTAACAAGAAAGGAATCGGGATTCACCATGAATAAGTACGAGCGAAGAACCAAAATAGCGATTTTTCAAAACTTCAATTAAAAAACGTTTTCGAAATAAGTTAACGTTTTAACTTTACATTTACCATCTATCACGTCAACTTTATAGGTCAAGCAATGTAGGACAGGCCGTTCCTCAGCCTCTTTTTCGACAATGTTAAGCGAACGTGGCGACATAGGAAACTTCAGATGTTTGTACGCGTTGAATCAGTAACCTCGGTTATTCATTTACCGACCTTGACGCTTTAAAGCTGAGTCCGGCCCAATAGAAGGTGACGGTTGAGCTTATTTTGTAGCAGCCTTAGGCGACGTCCTTTGAACAACTGTGTAGAGCTGCGCATTCGAGGAGGTTTTACTTTAAGAAACATAAACGATTCGCTTCGTCCTGTGTAGGGCAGACAAACAAGAACTCTTTCGACTATATGCAAGCAAAAGTTTTGCATCTTTACGCATTTTGCACGAACGTCTCTGTCCTTTAAAAACGAAACATTATCCAACTAGCAATCAGTTACGGAGAATCGCCGGCAAATTTGGGGGCTTTGCCGATCGCTGCAAACGATCAGACAATCGACGTCAGCGCTTCACCTTCAAGAAGCAACAATCTTAAGCAAAATGATGGCTAGGATCGCTTTCGTTCAGAGTTGCTTAATGTTATTCATTGTCTTGGTTAGTGCTTTTGTAATATTGCATATCGCAATAGCCGAAGAAAACCAAAAGCTAAAAAAGATATTAAATAAATCCTAGAAACGATGACGAAACCGAAGTGTGGTAACGATAAAGGATAGATCAGCCAGAGACGATGCGAAAGGACAAGCGTACGAAGAATACCGTAGTGGCCTTTGACGCAGAAACGGGTGTGACTCCGGCCATTGTTATGGCTGCAGACTGTTGAGTTCAATGTAGAACTGAAGATGAAAACTTTTTTTTATGATTGTTAGTTATTGCAAGCAGCCGGGCGAAATAAGCGGTATATGGCTTTTAAAAATACATGTTTGTGTTAATAAGCTATTAAGTGATTCTTTTGATTTTGACAGACAAGTTGGATTAACTTTGTGATAACGGGTTTAGAATGTAAGGGTTACGACTACTAGCTGAAGTTATAAAGAACTCGTCAGAAAAAGAAAACAGCGGAAAAATAGCTATATTTATGTAATGAATGCGTACTATATGTAACAAGTACCGTGTAGCTGAAGATCCGCTGGTATATCAGAACAGATCATTTAATCGTCAGATCAAAGTACACAGTCAGCTTAAGCTAATCAATTGACTTAATAGAAAATTTCATTTGACTGATACCTGAATACGAATGAATAGTTGATAAATAAAGACAGTTACTTCAGAAATGGGTAGCGAGCAATTCAACATTGGCGCATAGAGATGATAGTTTTGGCTATCTTCGATTTATCGGAAGTTTTAAGGACGATAGGAGGGTTATTAATAAGGAAAAAGAAACCAAAAAAAAAAGCTAAGGACCTATGAAAATTCATCCGCAGTTACTTTTAGCCTTACACCCGAAAAAATGTAAATAAATTGTGTAGTACAGGTAAACGGTACAACTTAAAATAGTATAATAAAGAAATGCGCTTATACGATGAAGCATTTAGTGACGATTTATATTATGAATACGTTTCAAACAATTCGTGAGTTGTTGTTAAAGGTGGCTATGGAACAACATGTTGGAATTACCTTTCATCTATTCAAGGTGTCTGTGAACAGAGCAATAAACTACCATAGATTACATTGTCAAAAGAATCTAGAAGAGAAGTGCTATGCTGCCAACATAGCAAGCTCTTAGTGAAATATGCCAATTTATCTCAGAATAACGGTACAGCTTGCTTCAAGTTAAATCTAATTTTTTTTTACATAGGCCATGTAGGGACTCTATCAAGAGTAGATGAGAAGTTATCATCAGGCGTATTATTTCATCGACTCTGATCATTTTCCCTCAACGTGGTCTTCAACTCTCATAGTCACATTTACGGCTGTTTAGGGTCGAACAGCGGAAAAGTGCCACTTTGGAGGAAGTTCCCTGTCGGGCGAGTGTTCTTGCAGGAGACAAGTTTCCAAGTAGTCGATTGTGCGTGAACTACGATGCCTACTACAAGACCGTGGTAGAAGAGCGTTATTTCATGCGCTTTTTTGAAGCCGTTGTTCGGCTCAAGACGCGTACTGTAATCAGCCATATGTTTGGTAGACCCAAGTCAAGAACTGCAACTTCGATCGATTTTAACTAACCTGGCTTTATTTATTTTAACTTGATAACTAGCGCGAGGGTGGCTTGCATGCGTCAATGGCCTTTTTATCTTCACCGAAGTTCAGCGCTCTACTAACATTACTAAGATTACGCCATTGTAGTGACCTGGGCGAATATAATTACATAATGTTTAGCAGTGCATATATCCGTCTCAAATCGAAAATATCTCCCACCGTAATTGAACAATAATTACGTACGAGAGTTTTTCTCCACCCGTTTCAGCTATTCCTTATTATATATATATATATATATATATAGAATCAATCGTAATGCGGTACATTGTATTTCGAAGCAGTAGGAAAATGCCGGCCAGCAAAATTACGTTCGGCCTTATAGGTGACGGTCTAGCGTTATGGATTGTTATGTGAATGAAGCCATGCAAAACACTAGTGTACCACTAAAACGTTCGCGTAAAACAGGTAGTCGTCATGGCATACGTAGAATATACATACATATATATATCCACATACTGTGTCCGCTCACTGTGTCCTTAATAATGAACGACTACGGGTCCTAATCAATTGGCTGGGTTACGAACCAAATAAATTATTATACACTTATCTCTATAGCTAGTTGTTCAGTTGTTGCATCCAGTGCATCGTACTCTAGCAAAAAGCCCGATTACGGTTGATGTATAATATTTAAACTCGAATAGATATTAGCTAGGTATAGCATATCAGATATAGGATATCATATCGTATCGTCAGAATCGAGGCACTTTTTTTGATTTACTTGACGTATTCTAAATTTTCCAATAAACAACCGCAGGATGTGCATAGGTGCAAAGCCACATGGAGCGTGATGGGTATTTCAATCACTACCGCTTAATCGTATGGCCTTCACAAATAGCTTTTTGATGGCAACCGTCTACGAAGTTTGGCACCTGACAGTTCTGTTGTCATTTCTACTTTGGCATTCTGTGATGGCATCACTTTTTCGTTGCGTTGCTTTGTTTGCAGAGCAATTCCCCAATCGTTTGCTTGCTTCTGCCTCATTACTCTCAACTACGTCGTTTCCTAAACGCCGCTTCAATAAGGCCTTGTTGAAGAGGTTTTGCAGCCCGAGTTCGGTATCTGGGAGGTCGAATAAGCGGCGGCGCGGGGAATAGCAATGCCGGATGACTGACCCGGGATGATTGTCGTCGGGGGGGTTGTACGACGTCTGCAGCGTGAACGGCATCAAGAATAGGTTCTTCAGGAACTCGAGGAACTTCGTCCGGTTCGGATTGAATGGTTGAACCACGCGACGAAGGCGGCAAAATAGCGACTAGGCGGGAATCCGTTATGGGTGACGGTACAACAATTGCCGGTAATGGGACATGTGGACGCTTGGATAACGCCTGTGCAGCGATGCTGTTATCTTTGGGCGTGACGACGGCTTTGGAAGCGTACCGGCGAACAGTCTTAGGAGGAATCTCAGTCGTTTGGCCGGTTCTAGGCTTCTTCACCGTAGGACTCGGTCCCGTCTTTACAGCCACGTCGGCTCCTAAAGTCAAGCCGGTACCGGGCTCATTAGTTCGGATCGTTGCCCGATAACCCAGGCGATCAGCTACATAGTCGACAAACCTGGAAAAGAGTCCAAGAACGCAAAATGATTATCAAGCAGCTTATATAAGACATAATTGTGTGTAAATGTAGGGGCGTCGTTCCAGCAAGATATATGCGTAATGATCATTCACCTTTAGTATACACAAGATTATAAATAAACATTCACTCGTTATAAGCATTCAAAAGGTTCACTTGAAAAGGAAGGAAAAATATAATCTCATAACAATAGCTTCAGTAGTTGATCTTGCATGGCAAACATTATGATGGGGTAGCGGTTAACCACCAATCGTCGAGACTCGGCAATCATAGCGTTGCGTTGAAATCTATGAAGCGCAGAGGAGTACCCGTTGCCTTTCAATTTCTCAAATCTCAACAGGTTCTAGGCCACAGATTCAAAATAGAATTCGTTAATAGTTGCTACTATTAGCCGTAACTCTGAGCAATTTAATTGTTCGACTGACAGCATGATTCTGGAAATGTTCACCACGAGGTATTGCACGCTAAATTATTTTTATATAAAATGTCAGATGAAGTAAGGCCACTAACGCCGTGATAACTCTCCATATTTAGAGACGTCCAATATGTAGGCAAACCTATTTTCGGCAATCTAATTTCGTTCAGTTGTGTAAAATTATCCCATATAGCTAATCTCCTATATATCCTAATATATATAATCTCCTAATCTCCATATAGCTAACCAAATTCCATAGAAACGTGTGATCAGTATCTCCGTCTAATTTTTTTTCTTCGCTCTTTTCGAAATACTTGACTGAAGTTATAGAATATGCATTAGTAGTTAAAATTCAACCTTGAAATTTACGACAATAAACAAAATGCTGTAGGTTTCTTTACTAGAAAAACGAAACATTACGCGATATGAGCAGTGTTTTTACCGTAGGCGTAGGCCTTTCGATTGATTATCGTTTTAAAGTGACCTGCTTTGATTGATTTCTTTGCAAACATTGACTTCATGATTAACACTTTTGAACAGAACCAAATAGTACCATGCTCTGAACTAAGTAAAAATAAGCTAAACCCTCCATGCGTCTGTTCGGTGTGAAGGAGAAATCCGACTGTAAACCTCATTTCGTCTCTACTCACGGCTGAACGGATCGATAGAGAAACAAAATTATTTCAAGATATCCTTTTGTCGAACGGAAGCTACAAGTCGACACTGATACAATCGTAAAGCTAATCAGTATCGTTTCGCCATCCCCAACGAACGCTTCCAAAGCGATGCTTTGCTTCGACCACCTGTGGTGGTTTGTTTTGGCTGCCTTTAAACGAAAGATGAAAACAGCATTCGTTTTACCTGTAAATGCCGTTAATGTGCCGATATCCATAGGTACCGACTCTCCGTCCAAGGACGTCCTGATGCTCACGATGCATTTGCAGATTTCCTTCCTCGTCCTTGGTCTCATAGGCAAACTCAAAGGCGGCCGTATCTGCCGGTGTCGGTTTGATCTCGGTCTTTTTGGTGGTGACGGCGCCGTCCTGAGAATGGGTTTAGGTCACGCATTCACAACCAGACATGAATACAGCAATATTCAATAGACACGGCCGATACGAATAAATATAGCGAACGTCATTCATTTAGTCCCCAAAGATCGTACTGAGAAACGATGATTCTACAGTTCCGCTGTGGATATTCTCACTAACCCATATTTACGTAACTTCAGAGCATAAATTATAACTAAAAAGGTACACGCAAATCATGACGGACAATTTATTAGTAGAACATTACATAGATATTTAATAAGTTAGCAAACCTTCTTGATATCTGTGTTATTTTTGTCGAAAATGATTATGCTCTCCCTGTTTTCTCTACGCTTTTTTTTTAAAAGTTATTGGGATTACCAATTGGAGGTATATCTATATAGATATAGCTCTAACCAGCTATATCCTGCCTCACACTATGCAAGCATTAGCAAAATCAGTATGAACAAAGCTTTTAATACAGGTTTTACCTTTAGGAGAATAGTTTAATAGCATCAGAGAACGGTAGTGTTAATCCTATAAAAGTAAGTTTATTGAGTCCTTTACGATATTGAATATAACCTAATATGCTTCATTCTCAAAGAGTGACAGTGATCAAAGCAAGTCTTAAAGGAATACAAATTAAAATAATAGTCTTAAATACGAAAAATCATATTATTAAAAACCTAAAAGAAGCTTAGATCCTACACATTAGTCTGCAACCTTAATTTAATAAGATAAACTAAGTGAGAACTAATTTTACAATAAAATTTGTCTGCACGTCCTTTTCCACGCCGATAGCTACGACAGTGGTTAGAATGATGCTAAACGGTAATTTTGTATAGGTCACTAGGTTGTTTAAATCGGAACATCAACGCAAAACATTTTGCGGAGATCTTTGTTATACAGAGAAAGAACCTTATGAGGTCGGGAAAAAGCAAACGACGTGAAAGCGGTAGAGTGACCTGAAATCTACTAAAAGTGCAGGCACGATGAATTTGTACAGGAAAAACGACGGCCACGACCTGAAACATCAAACCGTTGAAGGCTTCACACTGATGGAAGAGATATCCCCTGAGGAGAAAAATGGTTCCGATTTTAGCTGGAAGAACGTAAGTAGAAAACGTGTAACTATGAAGCCAAGCGTACGCCATTTCATGCCACCTCCCGTAACGCTGTCCTCAGGACTTCAAAAGTCTGAAGCTGTGAGGCACTCGTGACACTTCGGATTCGGGCGAGGATAAACATAAATCTTACAGTTGTTCGCCTAATTGCGACCTAGCAGGCGTATGGGGCTTCCGGATCTTTGCTGGAAGAAGTAAACGTTTACAGTGTGCTACTTGGGCCGTAATGCTCCCTGGTATCTTACTAAGGGCATTACAATCCCACCTAATAATCCACATTCTTTATGAAGAGGTGCTAGAGCAAAATATCTGCACAGTAAGCGCGTCTTCTCGTTTTTAACAACGTTCTTTAGATTCAATTGAAATAAACTTCATTTAGGCCTCCAAGCATCAAGGCCGCATTAGTTTGAGGAGACTAATGTCAATCGAGAACTAAATTACAGTCTCTTGTAACATGATTAGCATGAAGCAACAATAAACTTAGTGTTGAAAATCAAGTTTCTGTGAACGGTGCCTGGTAAATCTTAGCAGTTCTAGACGGAGCATTGTCAGCTTTTTCGATGCTACAAATATATCATGGTAAGAATAGCGAATATATCTGTGTTGATGACCCGCAGAAGTTATCGTGCAGTTCCTGCGCTCAGCTTATGGCACTAGCAGCGTTCGAAGGGCATTTCTTAGAGGGCATCTAAAAGGCTGGAAGAAATGTTAGTCAAGTGTGATCTAGTTTGCTCTGAATGTGGATTCGTACATCAAGCAACAGACCCGAAACGTCTCTATTGTACAACGGTGACATAGTAAGAACTCACTGAAAAAACTCGCCATGTCTTTAAGAAGGTCAGACCGACAGCATGCTGGGTTATTACTTTATATCTAAATGTAGAGAGAATGTCTTGCCCTAGATCGCAATACAGTACATAGTTATCGACTCAAGAAGGAATCTAGAAATGTACACAAGAATATGTTATGAGAGAGCCCTAGTCCAAAAGCTAGGTAGCGTAGGAGTGCAAGTGTAGTATTTTAGATCTTATTATTTTAAGGCAATTACTAACCGAATTTTATCTTAGTCTAAATGCCCAGTCGAGCTACCTTGCGGGTGGGCATACTTGAAGATCCCATCGAATATGGCTGAGTTGCTTGCTATGTTGATGGATTATTAGGAAGTTTTAAAGAAGCGCCTTTCCGTTGTTGAAATGTTTATGGGACGTTAAAATAGATCATAACTATACCTATCATTAGCCAGCTCATTCTCAAAACCATAGATTTTTACGTTAGAGGACGACTTCAGATGAAAATGAAGTCGTGGGCAAAAGAAACGGCACGCAACCTGTTCCCATGCGACTCAAAAAAAGCAGTACATTCACGTAAAAGATCGCATTATTAATGATTACAGTTAGTAGCTGACTGATAAAATAGTATTTAAAATTATAGAAGCAGAAAGTTATCTTTTAAAAGCGGTCCATTAAGCTATAAAAAGTCTTTTTAACGACGTTAACGTTAAAAAACGATTTTTCCACCTTTGTTGTTGTGTAGTTGATGCAGTTACAGATATCACCAAGTGCCAAACTATAGGAGCAGGAAGGAAGAAAGTTCTATTGCGGGCTTGGGATAGAACTTTGTATTGAAGAGGTAAGTTCTAAATTAGACACATTTCTCAAAAAGTTTCACACCGAACCGCTTCATAATTATTGTTATGCTCTGTAAATTGTTGGACGATCACGGCTGCCCTTACCTTTAAATAAAGGAATCATTTGAAAAACCTTAAACAAGGCTGGAGAAATAATCGTTTGGAGAGCTAGGTGATATATATATATATATATATGTAGCAGTGAACGGGCAATTGCATGCAATATTACCTGTAATATTTTAGATGGAACAGCAGTAAGTAAGTAAGCTAATAAAATCGGCCTTTATGGACATGTCAGGTAACTAAAATGCTCTTTCGGTAATAGGTGACAAACTAAGAGGAAGGCAGAGGGGAGGTGTGCTGAGAGCAGCGTCGACTCACGCGTCAATGGCGAGCCTAATTGTCTTCGATCGTGCTCAGACTCACTTTAGCGATAAAAAACGCTAATAGCTGAGCTATTTTATAGTGACTTTTGACAATCATGCCATCAAATTCCACCGTATTTGATCTACGGGTCTTTTTAGTGTTGTCTTCAGAAGTTGTTGACAAGACACTACAGGGATTAGCACAAAACGTTGTAACCTCGCCAACTTCTCTAGGCCAGTCTCAACCAACATCGATCGATATTATTTCAAATTCTTGTAATGTGTATCTTTACGCTATTGATTGATTGCACGATGGACATATCTTCTCGACTCGTTAAAAGTACGCCTGAGCGACAAAGCTCTGCTGATAAAATTTCAGGTTCACGCATTTCCAGCTACAGTTAACATTTCTCACTGGGAAAGCAGTAAATATCATATAGGACAAAATTTAGAAGCCGATTGAGAGATTTATATCTACGCATTTGTTTATTTATTGTTGGACAATCAGCAGAGACGAAGAGTACCGAAATATTATATCAATACTATCAATATTTATATCAAATTCTTCTCGGACTCCTTGGATCGCTTCCGCAAATAGTTATTTGCAAAATAATAACCGCCAAAACAGAATGATAGCCAGTCCATGTAAAGAAAACATGAGATCTATACACGTTTCAGCCCCTTCTTTCGTTGTTTCGTCAGTCGCAGGTTATGAAGCTGTGGAGGAGAATTACGGTAGAAAGTCTGAACATTTATCTGCAACTAGTAAATTTGCATACATATATGTATATATTAAACAAGTCACTATGGACAATCGTGGGTCCTGTGGGTTAATTATCACATAACGAATTCTAAGCGATGTTTAGTAGTTTTGTCGATTTTCGAAGTAAATTTCAAAAACAACCCACTGAATAGATCCTTGCCTAAAGCAGCATTTTGTAATTTGTACACATATACACCAGATGCCGAAAAGGATTCCGCGAAGCATAATTTAGAAAAATTCGTAGACGAACGAACCAGCATCATCGCGTACGGAGCGAGTCGTGGCGAAATGTGAATACTTATGAACTCTAGCAGCGGCCTCGTCTCAATCCCTGAGAAAGGCCTCCGAAAGGTAGACAACACCAATCCTGCCTTCTGCCAGCAATTATTACGAATATTAACATGGGCTGGGTAAATATTTGCAGGTACATTGGCAAGTTTTCGATATCATATGTTCTTCTAGTAATAGAAAAATAGTGTACCGCTGCAGATGAAGATCCAATGATTCATCATGTGACAGAAATATGGTAGCGTGTATTAATTCGGTGCGTTGCACGCGTACAACGTAAATGTCCAGCCGTTTGTGCGTCTTTTTGAAAGAAAGAAATTATAATGTGTTGCAGTACGAAAAATTCAACGAATTGTTTTCTAATATAATTAATCATAAGCTTAATCTTCTGTTTTAACATTTGCAAGGGCTGCTGCCTTTCACTAGAAGTGCTAGTAATAGTAAATGCCAGCCAGCCAGCCAGCCAGCCAGCCAGCCCCCTAACCCTTCAGGCGTCCCCTGAATGTTTCGAGCTTTACGCCCGACACCGCGCAGTTAGACATTCTATCAGGCGGCTGATAGCCAGCACTAATGAACCGTATGTCGTAACCGCGTACGCGCGAATTCGAATCCAGACCATCGCGCGCCCTTAGAACTGGCAGACAAACGCGTTGCGCGCTTGACGCGTTTCATTTTTACACAGATGAAGAGACCTTTTAATTTGTCGACAATAACATTCTATCATACCATCAATTTTCTTTATTGTTTTTTTTAACACAGTAACAGTTTTGCTAAGGTAGTAGCAGATAGGCAGTTCCCAAATCACATACTAAAGTTGTGCTGATAAAGGCTACCGAAAGCCATTTATATATGATTACGGTGGCATAAATCAACGAGTTCGGTTAATGGTAATCATATTCTTGCATAATGTTTCTAGCCAACGGTTGTTCTATGTGATGAGTAGTGTTACATTATAAAAGATTCAATAAACTGAGGAAAAGCACAGATGGAACCTTGTCTCGTTGTAAACATACAAAATATTTTAGCCAGTTCGACATGAGCTATTACAGACAAACAGGTTTCTTTTCTAAAATTGGTTACGAAAAAAAGGTTTATTTTGGATCGAATTTATTTTAGTTTTCCCTACGAAATTTCACACCGATGGTACTGGTACGTGAAATAGTATAGTTCAGATCTAGCAACTTACGTTCCTCATAATAACTCTCAATACGAATAACTTTGGTCGTAGCTTATTGTGGCATAGGAAATGTTTTCAGAAATGTCTCATGTCAAGGCCTCATGTCCGCCTTACATTGAACCGTTCAAAATGCATCTGTAATTAAAAACTATAAGAGTTAATAGCAGTAATTAAATAGTAACTAGATATTTTCCGATCAGCATGCAATAACCTTGCAAACTTCATCAAAGGCATTTTTATGTACACACGTCACAATCACCCATGCGTTACCTGGTAAGCGAGGGTCTGTCTGCTACAACTGTATTCAGGTACCCCCGCAACTGTACGACTATTTACCTAAAGCTTCACAGCGAATCACCACTTGGCATACGCTGAGTCTTCACCCTTACGCTAAATAAGACTCACCGTCAAGGCGATTACTATAAACGCGACAACGATAGCTGTTAGGAAGTAACACGACGATAGATGTCCATGTACGAGCATTCTGCAATACATATTCAAGATACACTTATAATTTATAAAGCTAAACTTATATTACGCTTTAAATTAAGTTATATAGATTTATATAGTTAGTTCGGCTTATTCTTCGAATTTTCTATTCCGGATTTGTTTGTTTGTTTGTTTGTTGTTAACACCTAGACACATAATCAGTTGTTTGTTTTGACGGAACCAACTGCTTTGCGCGGCTGCATAAGTTCAATGATCAGAATATTAGAAAAAAAAGATCGAATCCTCCATTAGTGATTGTGTTTTTCTTTCACTCGCAGATATATAGCAGCAATAGTAACAAAAACGTCGTGTATTCTCATACAGTGTATGTGGCAGGCACCGCATCGCTGGATTCAGAGATCAAATTGCATAGATCTGCTTGTTTTTACAACTCAAACATCAACACGTCATCTTGTAAAATAACGTGTAACTTTTAGGCCTCATTTCGTCCAGTTATAATTATAAAAATTTAATTATATAGTAATTTTGTCTAGCCACAAATTCGAACTCGATCTTAGGCTAGAGTCCTAGAACAATGGTTCGTTGCTATGTCATTTAACGTAAAATTTCGGTATCTAGAAAGGTAAATATTAGCAATAATACAAGTACATCAATCATTCATTTGTTTCCTGTTCTCATCGGCCATCATTTAAAGTACGGTACGACACAGGTACATAATCTAGATATAGACAGGTCGAGCGACTCTCGAATACATATTTCAACGATCTTTTTATCACAACCTTAGGATAGATTCTGGTGATTCACAAAATCGCAGGCGAAACTTACCCGCTTGGTCAGAAACGTAGTTGTCGAATGGTGAGAAATCTATTCCAGCAAAAGCCATTTGAGACTCTGTGTGACAGACACTAATATGTAAAACTTCATAATTCTGGCAATGTCAGTGTTGGAGGCACGAAAGCGACGACCAAACTGGTCAGAGCCACTGGCCAAGGATCATCGCGCCAAAAAATAAGATATTCAGTATCAGAACCTAGATATTTCAAGTAAATAAAGGGTATAATTCGCCAGATACATAGACGGGCCAAGCCCACGGCAACGTACAATATTTAGCGCAGTGATTAATGTTTTAACAGTTGCAAGTTCATTTAGGTCGCGGCAAAGTTAACTTCTTAAAGCATCCTAAAAAACTAACGGCTATGGGGCTATTTAACTCAGCTCTGTGTGGATAACTAGACGTTCGTTCACTTTCATTTCGCTCGGTTTTTTGACGAGCCGAATCTTCCTTTAGGAAGATTTGTTGTTGATCAAATCGCCGAAATTCGCGGCTTTTTGTTTGTCTGTTTGTTTCGTGGCCAGCTGTTACCAAAGGCTGATTGCGGATGACGATCCGACCGATACCTGGTACGGGAGTGGCCGTTGGCTTCTTTTGGACACATGCGGACAAAGTGAAATATTCCGCACTGACGGTGTATCTGCAGTTTGTTTTTTTCGAATTTCGCAGATAGCGGAAACCGCTGAAAGACGAGCCAACCAGTGAAAAGGTCCAGTAAAAGCTTCACAATGAAGAAGACTGTTGAAGCTCTGTGATAGAATTAGTGACACACTATTACTTCTATTTTTTCTTTTGACGAGGTTGATTGCTCGATATTGCTGTTAAGTGGTCCAGTATGGACATTTTGCCCACCTATGAACTTGTTTCAGATCGGATTCGCATTTTTTTTGCCTTGTGTTCTATCGCTTACAACCCGATAACAGAGACTTCAATCGTGGGGCGTGGACGTACATTACACAAAATAGTGATATCCTAAATTGGTACGTCAATCTACTAAAGTTTCGTCCTAAGCTGCCATCCAGACCGGTTTTTGTTACATGAAATTTTACGATTCGTTTCGACTATTTCTTTGTATGTGCCACTATGTGGAATAGATCGCAAGTACAGCCACAGATATTATATCGTCATGTTTCGATACCGCTTACACAACCAGATAGACGTCCTTATTCATACGACTTCAGTGGCGATACCCAGTGATGATCGACAGTCAATTCAATTCTATGAGTTTCTGTTCAGCTTTGTTTCATCTACTCGCAAGATCCATACACATTTTTCCCTTGCATAATAGCCTGGTTACTGCAAGGAGCCAGAGCATCATTACGGAACATCATCAAAGTATCGGGTAATCGTCGTAAACGGTGATACCGCTCGTTGGACTGCCAAAAGACGTTGAGCGAAAACTTTTTCTCTGGTACTCACCTAACCTTCTCGCGCTGCTGTACTATTATAAAATAGAGTATTTAGGAGAAGCTGTTTCTGCTGGTAACAACTGCCGTTGGGCAATCAGACGCTTCTCGACTGCATTTCAGCACCAAAACGGAGGTATAGATCGAATGTGTACTCTCCCCCCCCAACCCCCCCAGCAGAAATAATTGCACACAAAAGCCGATATTTTCCAAAATATCACGTACGTCCTTCTGCCCACTATTTTGCCCCACAATTGTACCACAAAAAGAGGAGAAAAAGAAGTATGGGCTAATTGCAATTGAAAAGAGAAGCGTGCGAAAAGGTGGAATATTTACATCTGAACCTGGATACAGGGCATAAGCAAAATAGGGTTCAGCGCTCAACACAGAAATACAGTGCGTGGGTACTCTAAAACAACCTTTGCAATTCTAAGCATATATATACGTATATATTGTATCATGATTTGAGCGTTAAATTTAGCGCGAGATTCGGTCATGAAATGACAAGTACTTTCAATTAGTGCAACAAATTTTTTTAAATAGTGACAACAAAAGAAGTTAGGGTAAGAGATTAGGTACGCTTATCGCTGCAGCCATACATATGCTCTCGTTGTATAAACATCAGGTTTTCGTTCTGAAAAAAGGTTTTAAGACTGTTCTCTTTGCAATCATTTCTGTTTATAATCATTATACCTAGTGAACATGCTGCGTTGGTCCAAGTTACCATTGACCACTAAGCGCAATCAGTGTTAACATCTAATTGAAGAAGGTCGTGCAGATACTCTACGCTATGAAAACAAAACGTAGCCCCCATCTTTGTAAGCAAAAATCACCAAAGAAACTGTTAGAATAATACGTAATTCCCAAAGAGGATCATAGACAATTATTGGGTCATGGTCAGTAATTTCATCACTTATAGAACTAGTCTAAGGCTAAAGTAGAAAATCATAGTATGATCTGCTACCATTTCAGATATCACGGTTATATATAATACACATTTTTACGTTTGTAAAAACGTTTGTAAACTTCTGAGGAATTTGCAATTTGTCGCTTATGCTGCCAAACGATGCAAAAATAACTGCGACGTTTTAAGGTATGTTTATAATCATTGCAATAAAATTATAATTTGTCTACAAATTAATTGAAAGATGAAATATATAACGTCCAGCTTCTAGTTATAAATCAAGAGATCGAGCATCTTTGACCAGAAATTACATGATGTTCCTATTTTTCAATGTGACAGCTAATAATACGTACTTTATTGTCTGCTAAGAGCGCGAGGGCCAGAAGTACTTTGATAATCTCCACAAGGTTAGGACACGAATGCACAAGATCACCTCAAGCAGAACTTTGAGCAGGTTATTATATAGACTGTACTCCGGTCACCAGTTTGCCACTTTTTAGAGACTAACTTCACTGCTCTCTAATTGAGCCAGTTTGACGAAAGCATGGAGTCGTCCGCTAATCTCTTTAACTGTATTCACTAGCCGCCATACTTCGTAACACATCGATTTTTCAAATCAAAGAGGTTGTATGCCTTTCTCTACTTGACTGTTTTCCAATGGATTCAAACCAAACTGCTACTACGCCAGTTCTTTGTCAGAACTTTTATTGCTGGTAAAAACGACCCTTTCCAGTTTACCCCCCGCCCCCGTGTCCCGGTAACCGCCAACGTGCGCCTTTCAGCTAAGGGCTGCGTGGAGGGGACTTTGCCGACCCGCGTAACCATTTGTTCCCATTCAGTTACACTTTTCCGCAGCTCCCTCCTACGTGTAGTAGGTACGTAGTATGCCACGAGGTGGTCAGCTGCATGAAATTCTTACCGCAGTCGTGCCTGGTTTTTTCCCGCCCCACAGCTGAAGCTTTTTTATTGCCATTTCTCTCATCTATACAAAATCTATATCGACAGCAGTGTTGTTTGGTTTTTTCGCGCCTACGACCGCGAAGCAATCATTTCGGAAGCCGCCGCCTTCATAGGCCACGGAGAGCCTTGAAATGTCCATGATGTTTGATAATTCTGTGCGATCTATATCCTTTCCTGTTCATAGGACCAAGACCAGATAACTGCAGAAGACGAAAAACAGTCTCAATAGAAAGGATAAAAGAAATAGAAAAACATCAATACTGAAATTCAACTACAACTACTGAGAAAAAAACAAAATTTATTTCCTGCGGGCAGACAAGTAAGTGTCAACGTCGTCGGTTGGTGGCAACTTGCTTGTCCGCGCTGGGTAAAAATTGATTGTTACCAGCATCGCATAGGCAACTACATATACATGCATATCTTTGACCAGTGATTTTTCTTGCGGCCAAAAGCGCTGAGTCACAACAAATACTGATAAACAATACTGTTTATAACTGTTCTTTTTCACAAGCGAAACGAGAATAGAATAGGGACGCCTTTGACAAAACTGCAACCTTAGGTAAATACTACATCAGATAGAATAGTATCGAACAGCTTGAGGAGATACTTGCACAGTGTGCCGTACCTATTTATAGCACCATATAAACCAAATGTTGAAAATAAAAAATATCAGTGAAATTTCATTGATTGAAAATGAATAATTATTACGTGTGTTGTAAATCTATACATGGGCTAATGGACAGAGACACAAACTTCCGGATTATTTATTAGCAAATTCTATTGTTGAGCGGTCGCTTCGATACAAAATTTTTTTTTACTATGTAAAATAGATGCCAGCCGTTTTCTTGCGTCTATCGAGTAGCAACCAGATTCGGGGAACTTGTAAGTAAAAATTATTATTAGTATTACTGTTGAGTCGTTAGCTGAGGATTCCGGAATTGGAAGAAAAAAGGAAACAAAGCACCTTATTAGCGTAATAAATTGACAGCTGTGCGATTCCTTAAATTTACTAGTTTTACGAGAACTTTCTTTCCTTACAAAGCAATTGTTTTCTATTACGATGATAATGGCGATAATTAGATGACAACACAACAAGGATTCATAGCAAACAATAAGTGTCATAGTACATTCCCACGCTAATATCTCAGGGTGGGAAGATACCAGAATACATTGGTCAGTGCGGGAAGTTTAAAACACATGGAAGCGTTTATTGAAATTTCACAATTTTCTGTTGCCACCTGCTGTGACGCTATCCAGAAGGGAGTGGAGTTTAAGACTGTTTCTAGACAACGAGAACTTGTCTAGCTGATAGCTATATGTTGGCGTTGGTATTGGCTTTACTTCAGTATATCTTTAGTCTCGGCTGAACCACTGTTCACCTAGATAGCTTCATTAGAAAATTTATATTAACGGATTACATTAGATGATGGCCGCTAAATAGCAAGCGAAAGGTCACATTTACAATGACCTATGGTCTCCAGTAAATCGATTGATGACTGAAGAAAGTGCAGATAGACGAAACGTCTATACGACGTATTAGCTAATGATAAATATTTCCGAAGCCCGACAAAATGCAAATTGACGTCGTTACTGCATGATGATGGACGTGCTTATGTGCGTTGTTTAGCCATTGCACCGAATGTCAATGGATAAACAACAACGATAGCTTTAATGGGCAAAACAGTGACAAATTCCAACTGTTTCCATAGCTACTATATAGATAGTACATTTCCGTAAACTGTTTTTGCTTTCGACTTTCACTAAGCTTATGCAGCCTTACCTGAATTTGGCAACTTCCTTGGGCGCGATCAGCTCCCGACCGCCGAGCATGTGGAGTACCCCCAAAGCATTAATCGACGACTAATGTTGCTTGATACAGTATCTAGCCATTTCTAGAGCTGTCATCACTAGAGGTATAAATTAATTTCTACTCAGCGTTCACAGGAAATCAGCTAAATAGTAGCGAAATCCATTTCAAGACCCAGGCATCCCCTTTTGCAATGCTTTAATGTCAGCACCACGGACAAAGTTAGTGACTCGCGACAACTGATGAATGGTTCATTTTTTTCATTATCATTGTGATTAACGAGTAGAAGACATTGTCTTTGCCACAAAGGTCTTCTAATAGCGCCCCTCCTTATTATTTCCAAGTTATTTGGACTCATAGCAACCCCAAGAGGTGCCAGGGCTTGCCGATAAAATGTCTCACGACTCTCGTCGACGCACAAAGGGCGAACAAATGAACATGACGTGAAAAAAGAAAAGTTACTTTTCGGTTGGATTATCTGATTTCTGGCTAACTTTACGGTCGATTGGTTTGACCGAGCGGTAGCTTAGGTTCTGGCAACTTTCCAAAGGAATGATGAAAAAGAATGGTACGGACTTTTTTTTAGAAAAAGTTCAGGAAAGTCGCAAGAATAGCATCTAGTTAGAAGCTGACCATAATGATGTCTGCCCAGTTAGGTACAGTACATGGTAGACAACGCGAGTCGATAAACGACGCGATGGGTTGTGATGGGAATCGTTGAAGCCTTGCTTTACTTCAGTCGATCGAAAATCGAAAACGCGTCTTTAAGTTATTGTGTTATTAGCATTGAGCGCAGCGAAAACAATGAGGTGACAATTGTAGATTACCTCGAGGTGTTCTACGTGGGAAGGTCTTGGAAAATGATTCGAAAGATCTCTGTTATTGTAAGTGGAATGTTCAATTCGCTGGACATAAAGACACGACTTTACTTCCAGAAATCGTACACTTCAGTAAAATGCTCAAAATGTATTTAAATCGAAGGCCTAGGTGACTGATATATCACAAGGGCAGATGAGGCTATTCCAAATCCCGATTGTCCGATAACGAGGATTGACACAACTCCGACAGCTCGAGGAAGATAATCAGACGACTTTCTTTTGATGGGCACAAGTCAAAACATTACTTGGAACTAATAAACAAATGCTATTTTTGCGTTCGCTGCTATTTGTCTTTACCTATGACTTTATGAGATAATCGACGAAAATCTCACATCGGGTAGATTTCAAGAGCTATTCTTTGAGAGTAAGACAAATATATATGTATTTACAGAGGTTTTTAAAGCTTCCCTATATTCTGGCATCAGTTTTCCTTTTTTCAGCCTTTACATTTGAACTTAGTGATCGACAGATTCGCCAAGTCAGAATGGACAGGCAGTATTGATGGCGATGAGATATGAGTGTTTTGACCAAATGTCAATCCTCTATAGGAGTTAACCGAAATCAGAAACGTGAAGGTGCGTTTTCATTTTCACATGAGCCAAAAAGGAAGGTTCATCACATTTACGCGCTGCAACCCACACTGTGCGATCAAAAATTGCTGTTCAAGCCCTGTTCTATCGAGACAATTCACCTTCATTAAGTCAATGTAAATCCGCCACAAATCCACGGATACAATTGACAAGATCTTGCTTCAATGCTGATACCCCCTGAACTCGAAGGCACCGCTCGCTGTAAGCAACTCCACCCACAGAATGGTTGGACCAGTCATTCATCCGTTCGTTAGTGGTAATCACCAACCAGCGAGAGCAGCACTAGAGGCAACAGCAGCGCCAGTGGCAGGTCATTGTCAATCGTGAACAATTCGCGCACAAACCGTTACCGCCCTCACCACAGCCGCAAAGCGGCTGTAACTGGGAGCTAACTTGGCATCAAAACTGACGATATCCCACACAGCTGCGTTTTTGTTTCTCGGATACATCGTCACATAGCGGTACGACAGCCGCGCGAGCTTTCAATAATGATTCAGTCATTTCTGTGATAGGGAGCTGTTGACCTGGCGGTTACCGGCGTCATTGCTGTCGTGTGTCGGATATTGATTGGATAGTAATAGCTCATTTCCACTCTGGGCCGTTAAATAGCTTTTTATTTTCAATTTGTTCTGGTATTCGCACTGGGCTATTCGAGCGAACACTTCATTTACACATTACGTATAGACGCCCGGAGATTTTATTGCATAGGCTGATGTTTCTTTTTCTTCATCCGTATTCGTCTTTTCTCGGGGCTTTATCGCTGATTGCGTGCAGGAGAAGCCAGACTAGGGCCTTGACCATGTCGCCGATACGTCGCATTGCCAACAGTGCGACGCTTCGTGCGGTTCGTGGCAACACAATTAGCGCCCAACTGCAAATGTTTGTGGAGGTGACAACGGAAAGAAATAGGGGAAGCGGCGAAAACTAAGTAACAGACCTACACCACTCGCCAATAGCTAGACGCTTTCGCACGCGTCATCGCTTGACACGATCGAATATTGTTTACCACTATGAAGCGACGTGATCCTGTGGAAACAAATATAGTTCTACTCGGCTTGCGGAAGCCGACGGAAATAATAATTGATACACGTTATCGATACCTGTGGCTCACTGCAACTATATCTATATTTTGCTCTTATTTCATGATAAAGGCCCACCGGAGTCGACCATAGTGAATGATGAACCGCGAAAAGCTATTGAACCAATTGTTAAGTAGGACGCCTCAGCTTGAGAACTAATTATTGGCGCGAACCGTAAGTAAGCTAGGCCATTCAATGGGTTTCTCAGGCCATCTTTGCTCGTTCAGTGTTGAGCAGTAGAAAACGTCGGAATAATCAGAGCTTGATTTATTTATATTGAATCAACTAACTTTTAACACCTGCACGGAGCGAGTTCTGTTAAGGTTATATTCGTCATGGTCTGGTCACAGAGTAGGCAAGACCACTTATATCGTTCCGCCAACAATGTATGATCTTTAGATTATTATCTCACTTTAGTAGCCGAATCGAAATGGTCGTATTGATTGAAGTATACATGATCAGCAGTTTTCCCGCATAGGTCACCGCTGATGCAACTCGGACCTTGGGATAACTTTTCGTCGCTGTTATCTTCATCAGGTCTAGCTTTAAGTGCTCTTGGCTTGACATGCTGCTTTTGTCTAGAAAAATGTCGGATCATAAAGTGACAACTGCTGAATGATGTTGTCTCTGGTGCTGCTTCTCTTTATGAAGTTAGGCTATTTCAGATAGCTTCTTTTTTTGGCTTGAGCTATTCTGTAGTGTAGTTATATTAGACTTCCAAGGATAGACTGGAGGAACTAGGTAGATTAACCTGAAGCTAACGTCACGAAACTAGTGAAGATTCTACCCAAGGAATGCCCATAGAAAAATTCTTTCTAGACTTAAACTCTAATGACTTGTAATAGATATATCTAATTTTGATACAACTGCAAACACATAAAACACAAAAAAAAAAAAAAAAACTATATACTTAACCAGTTTTTCGATTGGCAATAGTTTAAGACCTGATTTACCGACAGAGCTATGTTTCTACGCTGTCTAATTTGCCCTTACGGAAGTTAGCATTTATTGGGACTTCACTACCAAATTGATTTTTTTTCTTTGAAAAGCGAGGTCGAAGCTTCCCACTTAGTTAGAGCTGTGCAGTTATTAGCGAATAAGCTTTTAGACATTTTCTACATTGCTTACTAACTTTTCTGACTAATGTTCAAGTGGTGTTATTTTGGGTTGCATTCATCCATGAACTTTCATGATGACTTAAATAGTCCTGGAGATGTAATCTGCTAATCATAGTACATTCAAATTAGTCTTTAGTTACTTTTTGGCCAATATTAAGTTTGAACTTAAATATCAGCCAGTTTTTGCTCACCTGAGACTTAAAAATACATTTTAGGAAAATATTTCAAAAAATCACTTAAGACCTCTGAGTGTTTGGGCCACGTTGTTATCAGATCCTGCATCGAGCATATAGAAAATTTTACACACCGGCTTTCCACAAACTTCTCTCCATCCAGAATCCAGTTTATCAATGAAATCTATTATCAATCCGAGTCGAAGAATTGTGGTACACTATAAAAATATTTGAAATAATTAGATTGAACTTTGGCTATTAATAAGAAACAATACGATCCGCCGATGAACAACGCATAGAGTCGCCCGTGTAAACAATACAGCAGACAGCAGTTGAGGCATAAGGCGTTGTGTAAAAGTTTTTAGATAGCTAAACTAGTTTTGTCTTTCATTAATCGATAAAACGGGACGAATAACGCGTTTCTTTTGCAGAAAATTTCGACAGAAGTTCAAAGGTGGAATGAGGTGTCAAAGTCAAAATGAAGCACAGCTTTCGCTAAGTTTCATCCGAAATTGTTAAGCTTTTTATCGTATATAGCGTTTTACATATATAAAGCACCGTTGCTATCCTTTGGTAAACAGAAGCTCTCAAATTTAAAGGTCAGGTTCATAACTTGGCAATAACAACTGCAAAAAACGCTCGATAGTGCTTGTTTCGTTTGTTTTTTTTTCAAACTAACTTGCGTAAACTTAATCAACGTGAATTGCATTGCCAATCAGAAGGAGAAAGACATTTTACGTTTCATTTGTCGATGGAGTTTTTTTTACTATGTATGTCGTCTTCTATTATTTTTGCCACTTTTGAAGCAAAACCCTGACATCTGTTACCAGCTGCTCGCCCAAGACTGGCTTGTTGATTTGTTACCGTTTCGTAAGCGACTTTGCCATGCCACAAGCTATCTATTTGCCAAAAAGCCATATGTAACCCCGAAATCTGTTATGCCGGAAAGTCTGTCAACATACCAGTTGTTTCATTATGGGCTAGTGTTGACTAGGAAGCAAACGATTGCGCCGACAGGGAAACTCCCCGGATTCTGAGGCAACGTATGTAATCCGAACATCTTTTGCTTGTTCTACAACACTACATTCACAATAGTATTTGAATTTGGCCACAATTCTTTCAAAGAACAGATAGATTTCTATAGAGTTATTCTTTTTAGTACCATGTGCACCGTACCGTAATTAACCACCAGCTGCCCTTTTCCGTAAATGTATCCATTTATTCTGAGAGAGCTACACGGCGTAATTATGCGATAGAAAAACTAATCGGGTTATGTTAGATTGGTAATACTGTAACTGTTTTTCTGAAAGTGGTGTATACGAAATAACAATAACGAAATTCAACGAACACAGGGTGTTGCACGATGCGATAAGACGCGAGATCTTCACGTACTCGCCTGTGGGCCGTCAAGCGTTTCACAATGATTTACGGCTTGGCTAGCCACTACGTCAACGATGCCTGTACATGACACGCTTTGCGGTGCTAAGGAGTATTTCATCCTTTATCTCTTAAAAATGGCCGCGCACAGTTCTCTGCGTCATTGCTGCGTGTACCAGTGTTAGCGGAAGGCTGAGTTAGTAACGCCTAGCGAAAAAGATTGAGTTGCCACGAGGGAAAAATTCGCCCCGGACACCGACCCTGTACGCAGAGCGGACATTCGTTGTTAGTTCGTTTTTTTCTGTTTTATTAATTTCAGTTGCCCCTAGCGTTGCGTACTAAACGCCACGCGGTCGTAATACAAGATGAGCGTGCGGGCAGCGTACCTAGTGTTATCAGTCGGTATATTACAGTACGCAGTGCATGCAGCTGAAGAAGCCAAGTGTATAATACGCGTAGCTGATTATAGTAATGTTACGGTGGTGCCAGAAAGTTACGATGTTCATGTGCGTATCGAACTCAAAGCACAGGGCATTTTCTCCCGACTCATCGGAAGAAAAATGAATCAAAAGTTTAAAGGAAATATGACGATGAAATTCAGTGCGTCGAAGGCGACGCCCAATATGGTACTGCATGCATTGGATATCGAACTTTCCAATGCGGAATATCGAAAACTGCCCCAGGGACCATGGAAACCACTTGATGTCGTGATGGATGCTCAGAACCAGATTGCGGTGTTTACTACAAATGGGGGCATCTCGTCAGGGCCAGGCGAGTTCAGATGCAACTTTAAGGGAAAGATGCATTCTGGGCTGACGGAACCCGGGCTGCAGATTGTCAACCATACAGGGCCAGATGGCGCTGACGGTGTCAGCGTCATATCATATCTTCTACCCGAAGGAGCGCGAAGAGTTTTCCCTTGCGTTGATTTTCCTAAATATAAGGCGAAGTTCACACTGACACTTGCTGTGCCAAAGAACTTGAACACTTACTCTAATACACAGCAGGTCAAGGACGTGCCTCTTCAAAATGACTATAAGCTGGTGACGTTCGCTGAAACCCCTGCGATGTCGACATTTGCTTTGGCCTTTGCAGTGGGAAAATTTTACTCTGAAGAACGCAGCCTTCCGGGAGGACTAAACGTGCGTGTTTTGTCAAGTTACGCAAGAAAGGATCTCTTTAGAAATATTGAAAAAGCCCTCGATGCTGTACAGACGTTTCTACCAGCCATTCAAGACTATACTGGAACACTTTTTCGTAAGTTTACGTCCGTGAACATAACAAACTATTGCCAATTTTTGTAGACATTGACTACCATGTGAAAGTAAAAAAAAGTTATGTTGGAGCATTTTGTTTGATTCTTAAAACTCTGCGTCCTTCCAGCGGGACCAAACAAGTTGGACATTATCGGGGTGACTGATGGCTCTCGAACGGTATCTACTTACGGCCTTTTGGTAGTCCCAGAAGACATACTTCTCTCAGCCGTACCCAAATATCAGCAAGATAACAGCTCGACACCGGAAATACGCCTAAAAGGTTACTACGTCTTTTTAATAAATTAACACTGCGCACCAAGGTTATTTCTAAGATCGTTTTCCAGTCGAGCGTCATCATTTTATAGCTATCTAGTCATGTAGTTACAGGAAAAAGCTAAATGTTTGAAATTTCAAAGGTGCAAAATGATTATATTACACATTGTGTGAGACTTAGCATAGCTCACACGTTGGCTTTTTACAGGTTATTTGGCATACGCATTATCTAAGGTCTGGTTTGGTGCCGATATTACCCCAGAGTATTGGGATAATATGTGGCTTTCTGAAGGTTTTGCAACCTTCCTTTCCGAAATGATAAATGCAAAGTTACAGCCCCCTCGTGAACAATGGATCAAATACGACAGGTTGGTCTAAATAGAATACGCTTTAAAAATAAAAGAACTATATGTGATCACCTTCTCGGGTGTTAGTGGAGGACAGCATTGGCGTTGCTTGCATAAGTACCGTGAAAAAGTAGATATTTACCAAACGTACTTTTCGCGAAACGATCTACCGAAAGATCAACTTCGTCTCGTGTGTAGACTATGTATAAAACGATAGATAAAACGTACCTAAGGGAGCATCCTATATGCATAATTATGCAGAGTGTGTGCTTGTTAATCTTCATCTGTGCAGATCGTCGACGCGACGATTAAATATATTGGACCAGGTTAACGATTTGCCGGTCAAGTTCACTTTTTCGGAGCCGGACAGCATCGTGCATTCGTCTCTAGTTCGTCTTGTAACTCAAGGAAAAGCTTCTCTTTATCTTTGGATGTTGTACCGATTTTTGGGTGATGAACAGTTCAGGAAGGGAAATAGATTTTACGTCTCAAAACACAAAGGTAGCCTGGTCAAGACAGAAGATTTGTGCAATGATTTTACGGTACGTTTTATCGTCACGTCAAGTATTCAATCCTTAGATAAATAATTATAGTAAGGATTAGGGCACTAAAAATACAGGAGAGGTAAAAAATATATCGAACCTAAACAGTAGCTTTTCGTCAAGAAGAAGCTTTCGTGACTTAATTAAAGTCAGTATAAATATACTGTAAATAATCTAAGTATACGACATTTCCACTCGTATTTGGTACAAATGTTATATATATATATAGTTAAAGGCAACACATAGTTGTATTAGATTTTCTTACAAAAGAAAGTTAAAAAAAGCTAATTTTTTTTTAAAGTTTTCTCCAATTATAGAAGTCCCGCACTGAAGCTGAACTGTGCAATATAGCTTTTTTTTTTTTTTTTTTTTTTTTTTATAGGTAAATGATGCTAAAGTATTATAAACAAAACAAGTAAAGTTCGTTTTTATGCAGGAAGCTACTGGTTCTCCCACAGACTGGCTAAAGCAAATTGTTTCATTTCGTGGCATGGTGACGCTTCATGTCGATTGCGATCAGCACGGAAGCAACCGACTACTCAAACTTCGCCAGATCTATTTCCGCAAAGGGACGTTGCCATGCCCACAAAACGACTCCGTCTGGGCGTTTCCGGTACTTATCGACACTGAAGATGGTTGGTATTGATCCTTAGCTGCTTGTAGACGACAAGGACGCGGCTTAAGTTATTGTAGCCAATATATTCGAAGAGAACTTTATCTCACGATATAATGTGCTATACATTTATATAGGTAAGCCATGAAGTATTGTCGTATACGAAAAGTTTGGGGATTTAACCAAACAAGCATGTTAGATAGCCAAGTACGGCATCTACAGGGACTTTATTCATTTTTACAAAGCTAGAAACTTTAATTATATAGGGAAAATATTATGGGGAAAATAGCGGTAAACAATTTCGCAAACATCATTTGGAGTCAGTCAGTCAGAGCAGTTTGGCGACAGGTATAAATCCAAGCTCAAAGAACGTGGTCCTTTTAGTTTTCACTGTTTCCACTTACGAAATCCAACAGCTATAAATAATAACAAACGCCTTCTAGATAAGCGTGGTTTTAACTGAATATCCGAAAGTTCAACAAAAGTTAACAACTTTCTTGCAGCAACTTGTTCCTAAAACTTAGTATCTTACAATGCTAATTAGCCAACGGAGCACACGACGAGAGAAGGCAAAGGAGGAAGGGTTCCAAAATGATTTCTGAAGAAAGCTTTTTGCGGGATATTTGAGACCGTAAATACAGAGGCGATAGAAAGAAAGTGGATGAGAGCAAAAAAGGATTAGTGGTTATTGACATCACGAGTGAACAGCACTGCATTGTCGATTCAAGACCTCAGGACGGCTGGCAGGGACGAAAAAGGACTGAAGTGCTCGGTGAAGTCAGAAAATGGATGTTGGTCTCAGTGCCGAGCTGTGGATAATTGTAGAAGAAAAATGAGGGTGTGCACGCCGGCTGGCTGAATAAGGCTGTACGTATTCGTCAAACTTAAGATGAAGTCCGTAAAGAAGCGTCGTAAACTTCGTGGGTAGGAAGCAAGCATTAGAGGCATCGACAAGTTGAAAATTCTTCTTAGAGCTTCGCAGAGGCGGAATTTAAAGCACTAGCTTAAACAGTCCTTACAGAGACTTCTTAACACAGCTTAAACGGTCAGGGAGATATACTCCATTAGGGGCGCCATAGTTGGTCTGTAAATGGTGCTAGTCTGAAAATACTCTGATGTTGCTTGATGCGGATGAGTAGCCATCGTGAAGATAATAGTAATATGATAAGAATGAAATAAAATGATGGAGTTAACAGCAACGGGAAAAGATTCGAGAATATGTTGTTGCCAATTAAGATCGACCACAAAATAAAAGCGCCCAATATCAAAAAGCGACCACAATTAATTGATTTAAGCTGAGCGTGCCATTAGGTGACATCTTCAAAGGTGGTGTTACAGAAAACTTGCTCTATAGTTATAGTGTAGTTGTTGACTATACCGATCCAGTTCAGCCAATATACGTAGCAAAACCGAGCTGTAAATTGTAAATAAACAGCCCGTAAAAGTGAGAACGACGTTGAGGCCCCTTACACGAAGCACAATATTCAAGCGGAAGAGTGGTGTCGACGCGCTGCGAGAGAAGATCATAGAAGAGCCGGGTGTAACGCATCGGGAAAATGTGGCCTAGGCCTATGACACAATCGGAGATGCCCAACGAAGCACGTGGCGGCATTTTTGTTAGTGGGCCGGATAATGACAACGCGAGTCCACTCATACCTTTCATTAATGTGTCTGACGAGGGTGTACTTGTTTGGTACGATGAACATGAGCGCCGATTGGTGCGACAAGGTTGATAATAAATAAACTAGATACGTGACTTTCGTCAGCAGCAGACAACGGCACATTGTCACAAATGATCGACTCCAGCTTGGGTTGACGTTAGCGGAGCGCGCTAGACGAGATTTGAAACGATACGAAACTACACATAGAGAGTTAAGGAGTATTAACTAGTTGAAGAGCTCTCAGGGGCGAGCAAGCGATAAAACTATACCAAGAAAAGCGGAATAGGAGGAAGGAAAGGAAAAGGAGAATTCGGCGGTAGAGGAATGGACGGTTAGATTTAAACGGGTTTTCAACTCACAAAGAATATGGTACTATGTGGTCAGTCAGTCAGTGCTGGCATTTTCAATCTATTGGGTTACGTAAACAGGGAGTAGAAACGAAGCACAACAGAGTGATATCTGTGCTTTCTCATGGTATATTTTCCTTCCAGTTGGAAACAAGGCAAAACCCGCTCCAAAAATGATTAAACCAAATTTTTGTTTAAAAATGTTTAAACCAAACGAGACTAATTGAATCGATACACAGGTTCCACTCGATTTATAAGTGAAAATTCTAACTAATTTGGTATCTAATAATAAATATATAGTAAACTAAAATTCTCTAGGGCGCGGTAAAGGGAGGTATGTGGTTGTACACTGAGCCGACAAGACGACTAAACACTTAAGGATCTCTTAAAGAATCCATTCAATATATGAGTCCTTGTATGATGATGCTGAACTCCCAAATAGGCAAGACCCATCGACAAATCATTGACCATCCTCTGACCACTGTCACAATTACTGGTGTCGCTTGGAAAACTAAATGGACGAAACTTAATCAGTTATCAAGCTACTATCGTGTCCTTTACTCAGAGAACTGCCTGGAGAACTTCGGACTCTACAAAGGCCTGAACACAGTGAAGCATGATTACAATCTGCGAAGTAAGTGCGCCTCATAGTTTACTTCATTCATTTGCCTACGTTAATATTTCTCTAACCGCTTTCAATTCGAATCAAAAAAGTGTATATTAAGAAGTGTAATCAAAGAAGTCTATTATTGACACAACCTTGTACCAGCTGTTTTCACTACAGCAAATTATAGCGTCGAACAAATTCGACGATTAAGCTGAATGTCCTCTCTTTGCGTACACTTTCCTAGGCACTGCCGGTCAGATTAACCCGTATGAGAAGCAAATGATCCTGGATGATCTCGTCTACTTAGAAAATCTGTACCGACGGGTAGTGGTAAGACCGGACGATCCTGAAGCAGCAAAGCTGACTGATCACTACAATTTTCAGAAGATCCGCAACGGAGTTTTGCACACAGGAGCAGCGACCCCTCCTGCTGGTTGGTGAATACTTATTAAATTGTTTAGCGTCTGGGAACTGGCAGTTTCTCAAGCCTTTCATAAGGTTCTCGGCCTGTTTAACGTTGTCTGAGACGCGATAATCGCATACTAGCAGAATCATGTTGTGGGCTCTATTAAACGTGTCAGTATCTTGCTTCAACTGTGGCTGTCGAGGTTTGGCATACTCAGGATGTGCCCTTTCCATTGCAGCACCAAAGTCCTAACAACCAATGGATTATCGTGTATTGCGGCCGATCTCCATGGCTCCGATCCCTAACGGTGATGAAAGGTCCTTGCAGAGGCTTTACTAGACTATGATTATCGCCTACAGGACACACTGAACCTATGTAGTCTTGCACTATACAATAAATTCTCTTGGAAGTTGTCCAACAACAGCTTTTACTTGTCTTTGACTTAACTTTCTTTATAACGTTAATAGTGAACACATTTCACCTACCAGATTACATAATTTTATTTATCTATAAATTTTTTAAATCATTTAGGGTTAACTAACATTAGCTCCATAAATTTTAAAAACTCTGATCAAATCTTCAACACATCATGCACCAACAATAGCATATGCTTAACAGTCTGATATTCTTATACAGTTCAATCGTGCTGTATTTTAATTGAAAATAAAGACGAATCTAGTTGCTCAGAAATGTATGAAGAGTCCACACGAATTTCGCCCATGACCTCTAATCGGTAACCTTACTTTTCCAAGCAGTTTAACACTTCACAGAGTACTCGACACGATACTACTCGGTGAAACTTCATACAATGAAGTATAGATTCCTCTTGGCTTATCGGTCTTGGAAATAGAAAGTGAAAGATTACCGTGACCTTTTTTTCAAGTAACAAGATAATAAGTCTATCTTGACTTGATAGTAAAAATATTCGAAAGGCCTCGTAGACGTTGATTAAATCTGGCTAACTTATAAATTGTGTCCGGTATTACTTTATTCGTATCGTGTATGGGTTTCGGATCGACGTTCAATTTTACTTTACAATGCATGATCCTGATACCTAAAGGCGAAATGAATAATATGATAGAGCTAGGTGTGAAACTGGTAATTGCAACTTGAGCTCAGAACACACCAACGGAGCGTACGGGCTAGAAATTTGAATAATCAGTATTGAATTGTAGATACGTTACCGGTCAGTCCTCCCTTCATTTTTGAATCCTCGAAGAACGTTTTCCTGAAGAACCCAAAAACGCTTCGCTACTCTTCAGCGGCCAGCGCGGTCATCTAATCGACTTTGAGTAACTAAGGGGTTTGGCAACGATGGTGGGGGTTCATCGGGCACGAACATTTTGAGAAAGACCAGCTATTTTTTATTCGCAAAGTTTAGGGAAACGGGTTAAACAGTAAATTTGCTCGATCAGTCGAAGGAATTTACTGCGGATTCAGAATGTGCGCTATCATCTTTATCTGACCACAGTCGGATTTGAAAAAGCAAATGTTTAGCAAAACCTGAAGAATTTTTTTCGCAAAAATTCAAAGAGCTCATTAAATGCCTTTAAAATGTTTACGTATCCGTTACACCTGATGGTAAAAGCTCACAGCCCTGAGAGCTTCTACGCTGTAAGTTACATACACACCATACACCTCAGCGAATCGCGCTATGTTTTTAAAACCGCTAAGACGGCTGACAACAGCCTGCCGTACTTACCGTCAACGATTGTTGGCACCTCGTTTTAAGACACTTTTGTATCGAGTCTCTATTTCCCTTCTTGCCATTATTTCTGTTAAGCTCGGCAGCTTCGTCATTGTCTGTTTTTTCCCCTTCTGAAGTTTCGTTCTAAAAATGCTTGTGTACAGCATCCAGGGCCGCAAGATGCGCAGGATACGCCATACGCAAGCTGGATGGAGCACCTTCATCGATCCTTTGGCGAGTTTTCCTCCTGATTTTCGCGTCACTTATGCTCTGTCAGCAGTAAAACCGAAAAAGCTTTCAAAGGCTTAGTTAAACCCCTTTAAGAGTGTAATCATACTTGCTATTCGGTTATTTGCGGTACTCTCGCCGTGAGTTCGTATTAGACATAAGTGGACTATTCTACAAGCGACAAGAGAGATTGCGACGTCTGATGAATCCAGCCCAACTACCGTCTCCGATAAAATGCGCACTCGTCTGTCGTTGGTATAAAGACAACGCTCTCGTTTTTCACAGACTAATGTTCCAGCGCGAACCTCTTTATGGTTAGCTCACATTCGCGACCTATTTTCTGTATAATGCGTTCACGTACCCATTGGGACATACACCTATTTTTACCGGTACCGACAGCGTGAAGGGATGAGAGGCCTTTTAATAGTTTAACCCCACAATAGTCACAGACCTTGCGACATCTCATCCAAGCTTAAGTCTCGAGGCGACTCGCTACTTTCTTCACATGGTAGGCCTCACGTTGTTACAATCCTCTCTGGCTGTGGTGGCTCGTTTTGATAAAGTCCTTGCCCGCTGAGTCATAAAAATCCCATATATATTTAGCGTACTGCAAGCACTTGATTGAATGATAGTTCTTAGAATATTTCAGATGCTGGGAAAAACACAATTTATTAGTTACGATACGTGTGAAATAAGCTCTGTACTAGCATACAGTTAATTCTCATTGGACAGACTATTAATTATTGCCAATATTTACCTGCCGGAATCCAAGTTTGTCGCAGGCGTATCATAGCTACAACCTGCACCTGAGGTGCCACAAGTCGGGGACTCACAACGCTGCCCCTCCCGTTATTACCGTGCAGGATCCCCTGAAGCTGCCACTCTGGTCGTCCTGCCGTACAATACCGTACTCTCAATCTTACTGTGCGCACACTTTTCAAGCGGTGCCCCACAATTACTTCTATTGCATAAGCTAAAAAATTCCTTACTTCTACTGCCTTTCTCACCAGCCTTTATGAGCTTCTTTAACCTTCCGATTGATCGATAAAAAGAGCCGTCTTTGCACGTGTTACTGGCTTATAATGGAGCTGTTGTAATCATATGTCAGCCTTGATAGCTATGTAACTATATCATAAAGGTTGAGTGAAGACAAATCCCCCTTTGATTTCCCCACCTATATTTTACCGGCCAAATGGAAATTCTAGCCTAAATATATAAATAGCTTAAATTTGATGTTAGTTACCGAGTTTAACACGCCTGAGGTAGCCACTTCGATTCAAATAGCGGCCCTATCGATTAAGTAGCGGCTGAATATAGTACAGTTTTATACAGTTAGAATCAGGAATGATGTAGCAGTTTTAACTTATCAATGTGTTGCGTGCTGATTCAATAAAAGAAGGGCAGAAATTAACTTGTTTGTTGTGAAAAAAAAAAAAAAATGATACGTTTAAAACTTCGTTTTTGCTACTACCATAGCTCTCGGATGCAGCACTGGGTTGAGTACCCGTTATAGAAGCCCACAGATGTCGAAAATAGCTTTTAGGCCTTACTGTACCGTACGACTTTATTATTTGCAGACCTCTAAGCGAACTTGTAACCTAAATTCTAATTTTCCTATAATGAAATTTGTTGGACAAAAGCGTAACGTAAGATTATGCATTTTCCTTATAGTCTGACAATACCCAATGCAATGCTTCGCTTCATCTTGTTTATTGAAGACGAACGGTGCAACCTGTATATACTACAGGTAGGTTTGAAAATTTCTGAGTTTTGTGACGAACGAAGTCATGACATTTGTGAGCTCATCCCCAGCTTTGTCGATCCACGTTTCTTACTGTTGTCCATTAAGGATAGTGCCCCATTCCATCATAATGGCTTGTATCTGTTTGGGTTGACTGAAAACAGATCATAAGTTTTTCTTTTCAACAGCTTTTAGCTGCCAGGATACGACGCCTACATGAACTAGTGCAATCTTATGTTGAATGAGCGATTTGGGCGATTCTAATTGCCAGCATGCGTTTGACCCTTTGTAGATGCTTGCGGTCTTTGCTGTCAGCGCCGAGCATCCACGAGGGATAATCTATCCTGTCATCGAGATTACTAGACGCCTTTTTTTCATTGGGATGTAGATGTTTGGAATTAATCTGGCCGTCTATCCTGAGACCTTTTCGGCTTTAGCTGTTACTGCCTTAACGCTTTCTATATACGCTTTTAATTCCTTTATTTAAGAAAACTCCGAGCTATTTAGTAGTGCTAACCACCCGTATATTTTCACTGTTTGGAGTTGCTCCGACATGATGGCATTTTTTTCTTGTCAACCTAAAGCATAACTTGGCTTTTAATTAGGGTTACTGGCAGGCATCCAGGAAACAAGTTAGGCAAAGGCGTCGTTTGCTTGATTGAGAATTTTGCGATGTTTTAGTTCTCTTAGCAGATAGATCATTTAGATAAGCGACAACAAAAAATGTCTTCTCTCTTGCGGTAGGTTTTTACCTTTAGCATTCGCTCCATCCTAGTAACAGTCATTCACATGATACCCTATAGCCACTACAACTGTTCTTTGGGTTTTTTTTTGTTTTTACTGGCTGCATGGTATGCTTTGTAGGCCAGGCAAGCCGATGAGCTGGCTGCGTATGAAACTATCCCTTAGTTATAGCACTTCGCCATTTTGTTGCACCTTCTTACGATGTATTCGAGTGTGCTGCATCTGTGACGTCTCCTTTCTGTAACCACATCGTTCATACATCTCCTTGCTTTGTGTCCAATTTTTTGACACTTAAGCTAGCAGACAACAGATATCTACGCCTGGCTTCCCCTGGTGTGTCCAATTCCTCTTGGCAACCGCGTATAAGGTTCTTCCGATGGACAGGTAGCCGTCTATGAGTTGCTTCTTTTGCGAATTGTGCTGCCATGGCAAATCCACCAGTAGACACCTCAAACGTCGGTCTCGTCTGTGTTTCGAGTTTTACGTTCAATATCGCCGTTAGCCATTCCGTCAGACAGCTGACTCCCAGCACGAAATGAGGTGTGCCTCTGCCCGGGTTTGACTAGCACAACGTGTCCTTAAGATGATGAGCAGGCGAATTCGCTAGCCACTAAGCTAACACGTGGGAGGTGATCTAGGGTAAATTTATTTTCCATGGGCAAGATCGTTTTTTGCTCAAAACATGTTGTCCTTGGTTGTACTCCCTTAAACTTCTAATTACTGCTTGCCCATGCGTCTCACCTCTGCGCCTATTTCCCCTTTTGTTTAAAAAAATCAGCAGTACCTCTCGAGGGGACATATGTTTCCGCGGCTGCAACATTTCGCCGTTCTTCGGCCGGTACTAGTATTAGCTATCTGTCATTTAGTACTGTCGCATCCTTTTGATTTAATGTTTCAGGCGCACATACTGCGGTTACATAACTATCCCAGTTCACTCACATACGACGGTTCCACTCTAAATTCGTAGCACGCATAAAACAATTTTTTTCCTTTTTGCCAATCAACCCAGAAAAACCCTCAGTG